TTCTTGTAGCTCATCATATCAGCTATCACGCTGTATATTTTTGTTTGCCATGAATGTATAGTGAGCTGTAATCGTATGTGCCCACGATGGGCGGTCATGTATGAAATAATAATTTCTTATTGCGCGTCGATGTGAACGAAGTCCATCTTTTAAATATTTGACGAAGTTGGAAGTGTTGGTTCGTCCTTGAATGAATACTAAATTTGATTTACCGTTAAACCAAACGGCACCAAAAACTGCCACTTGGTATCGTATTTGACTCAGAGATGTGCGGGGCATTGATTTTCCGTGCCCCGCGGGGCCCGCCCCGTAAAATTCACAAACCCGTCCCGTCCTAACCCCGTGGATATTCTTTTTGAGAATCCCCGCTCCGCCTGTGCCCCGGCAAATCTATACCCGCTCCGCCCGTACCCCGCACAGGCAGCTCCTTGAATTGGCCCGCCCGACCCGCCATTTTTGTGACGGGCCCCGACCCGTCCCCGTGTAACTCGCGCAAATTTTTTATTTACCAAATACTTTATTTTTAATGATGCATTCCTTTTATGAATAATCATTTTTTACAAAAACAAAACTCAAGTCTATATGAGATGGTTTTGAATGATTCACTTTGTGATTGTCGACAAGCACGTATTTTTCTGGTTGTTCTTTTAAAAACATTTTTATATTTGACGAATTACATTTAATATTACTCGATGAACAATGACTGAGAGATGAAGAAATAATTGTAGATGAACGATCAGTATTCGACGAAGCTGTCCTATCAAGTGATTCATCAGGAGATAAATCATGTAATTCGATGATACTTAGGTCTGACCAAAAGTTCTGGCAACATTATATAAAAATATAAAGATAAGTGGGCATCTTTAATTTTATTTTATCAAATATTGAGGACAGTTGCCATGATTATTTATACCAAGTTCGATCCTTTCCAACAATTTTTTAAAAGTTTTTTTCGAAAAAATTTTTAGATATCTTAGATATCGCATGAGCTTATCATGTTTCATTTATTTAATCAGTTAAACTGCATTTGATAGAATTAGTTAGCGAAAAGTTACATAGTATCAGGCCTGGTGAATATGATAGATATGATATTATATTGATGCCTTCTTCTGTCATGCAATTAATAACATTAGATGAGTATGAAGTCAACGATGACCGTCAAGCAATTTTGAACCTGATGTCTCTGTTTGTTTCCATATTTCATTAATCAAATGTTTTGGAGAGTTTTCAGCATAATACTTGTGGCTTACAGTCTTGCCTTTATCCACATTCAGGAGTATTTGATTTAAAGAATATACCAAACAAAGCATTTTCTAAAATCTTTATTCATGAACAATAGTCTTTGACGATTCATCTTCAATAAGCCAGCCAGCATCGGATAACTTATGACTAACCTATCTAAAATAAATCTATATCTCATCACTAGCAGTACTCGAATGCAACTGATATGATCGAACAAGATTTTGCTAACTTTTTACAATAAATGAAATATGATTAGCTCGTGCTGTATCCATGATACCTAAAAAGTTTTTCGAAAAAACTTCAAGAAACTTTTAACTAATCGTTGGAAAGGATCAAACTTGATATAAATAATCGTGGCAACTGTCCTCAAAATATGATAAAATAAAATGAAAGATACCTCCTTATCTTTATATTTTTATCTAATGTTGTCAGAACTTTTGGTCAGACCTAAGTAGTAATTCACAAAAAAATTCAAATGATAATTCTAAATATAAAATAACTTCTAGTCCAGTTATTCACTTAATATAAATTGATAGTAGAAGTTGCGTATGACAGACGATAAAGAAAGAAACAAACAAATGGTAGCCAATCTTGTACATAATAGGATGAAAGTAATGAACCAATCAATATGTACTTCGTACTACATACCTATACTAAGGACATCCCGTGATAAGTTTTGACGATCTTTTATTACACCCGAAAAAAAATGTTTACCCGCCCGAACCCGTGTATTTCATACCCGCTCCGCCCGAGACCCGTGTCATTTAAAAAAATGATTCCCCGCCCAGCCCGCCCGTGTGCCGGAAAATACCCGTGCCCCGTTAATCCCGCGTTTAATTAAATTTTTCTTCCCCGCCCACCCGTCGCCACGTGGCCCCGCGGGGTGAACCCCGTGGACCGCACATCTCTGATTTGACTACGAAACGTAGTTGGACGTGGTCGACCGTAAGGTATCCAATAAACAATTCCTGAAGTATCAACCTCGAAGATTTTTTCATCAGCAAAAATAATTTGACCCCAATCATCGTGAATATGCTGTTGACAAAAAGCTAATTGATCATCTGCATGTCTTTGATTTAATGAGGGCTGAATTCTGGCGCGAACGGGATGAAAACCCAATAGCCTTCGATAATTCCGAATCGTTCGACTAGTAATAATATGTCCAGTTTGTCGATAAAATCGATTGTTTAATTGAGATGACGTGTCATTTGGATATCGGTAGAATAAATGTCTTAGAATATGAATATCATCATCGTTCAACGAATTGCCACCACCACGTCCTTCACGTTCTACTACATCATTAGTTTCGTGAAATAACTGTAAAATATTGTGAACTGTTTGATGTGTACAATTGATACGATGTGCAATATCATGAAAATCGAGGCCTTGATCAAGTCTTAATGAAATCACCCGCCACCGTTCACCAACAGTTAGATGTCTGTTCATTTTGAATACACTAACCGTGTTGAAATCAGCAGAAAAGTGAACGTGTGCCTCTTTTGTATTGTTCCCTTCTCTATTTTCTCTTTTTCTTTAAACAAAGAATAAGAATGACTCTTTCTCAGCAACAAAAATATTGCTTAAATAGACCGACGACAACCGAAACAAAAGACAAATGACAATCAATACTCGTGCGTCCGATTGAACAAACATTTCGACAGATAAAACAACTGAACGAATCGATAACAGCATCGTCGAAGCAAATCATAATTCAGAGTTTAGTTTTCATTCATTTTGTTATTCATGACAAACAAAAATATACAGCGTGATAGCTGATATGATGAGCTACAAGAA